TCCTTTGAGCAGATACTGTCTAGACGGAGGTAGTGAGGACATACTCTGTGATAGTTGCTGTGATAGTGGAGGGGTTTGTTTTGGTTTTGCCATATTGAGATAAGGGGGGTGACCCAGTGCTCATCATGCTGGGAACCTGCCTTGGCTGTCAGGTAGAAGTCACCTTAGTGCTGGTCATATCTAACCCTCTTTAAAGAGAAAAGACTCGCCGTGCCTGCTCCTCAGAAAACCATCCATGGCTCTACTCCACTCATGCCGCTTAGTGTGGCCCTGACCATATTACATCATCAGCCTCTGTGATCTGCCTGCCTTCCACACCAGGCAGGGTGCTGAGACCAAAGCCTTTGTTCTTCTAGCTTTGTGTCCCAACACCCTGTGCAGTGCCTGGGCTGGACCAAGTGCTGGTAAATGTTTGATGAACCATGAGGAGATAAGACCCAGCTGACCAGATTGCAGTAGTACATTTTCTGCCTCCCCAGGCTACTTCTCCCCCAGCCTGCTCACTCCAAACACCCCAATGCTGATCCTCAAGGAGTGAGCTGCTTCTGTTGTTGGGCATCTGGAGGTTTATTAGGTGCTTACTGATACCCATCAATTGTAGATAGGCTGAAGTGCAGGGAAATGGCTGCCTGCGTGAAGTAAAATTCAATAAAACCGCATTTTAAGTGAAAAATCAGTATAAACACCAGGCTTCTTTGCCATGGAAACAGAGGTTGCTTAGAAACTGCCTAACGGCGAGTTCTAAATTTTTTAAAGTCAAGTTATCATTTAAGCTACACGGCCCTACAGGTTATTGAGAGATAATCACTCGCCTCAGGACACAAGAAGGCATGAGGCACAGCTGAGTGCCTCCCCTGCTCGGGGACCAGGTAATCTCTTGATAACTGTGCTCCTCAGAGCCACTCATTTGGGCCTAGGGGAAGGAAAAAGAAATTTTTGTTCAGGAGTTAAATAGTGTACATATATTTTTTTAAAAGTGTTTCTCTTCAGGTTTGAAAAAAGATGGAACTGGTCGTTTGGCATGTTCAACAGCCACCTCTGCCATGTTTCAAGATATATGAGGAACATTTTCCAGGCAGTTACCCCAGTCACTTCGAAGCAGAGGTCCTGCCTTTGTCTTCTGGCTTTCAGTTATGCAGAAAGGACTTCCAAGGCCTTCAGCTTTGCTATAGGCTCTCTCCTCTCAGGGACTACCTCATCTCAATGAAGGCTGGGTGGGAACAGGCCCCAGAACAAAGTGGTATCAGACTTCCTGGTCCTTAGGCACAGCTCCCAGGGGTGGCAGCCAACCAAGGTCCAGGTTCAGAACTTGTCAATATTTAGAGTTCAGCAGGTCGTACGCCTCTTGTCGAGCAGGAGCACAGCTGCGCATGCCAGCCATCTGGCCGCATGGCACAGTGTCTGCTCCTCACCTCAGGCGTGTGGAGGGCAAAGCAGACCACATTCATTTCTTCCTAAAATGAAGCCAAATTAGAACTCCATTGCCTGAGAATTGGAACCCCTACCAAGTCAGTGTGGAGAAATTATGAGTGAGACAGAAGACAAATGTTTTGCCCTTTTCTCTGTGAATTATCCATGGCATGATGGTGCTGCTAGAGTTGGTAGTGATAATTATTCCTTAGACACACACACACACACACACACACACACACACACAGATCCTCTGTGTCTCTCTCTGGAAGGAATAGTGTTTTCATTATACACTTCAAAGTGTTTCCTGCACCTCCTCTTCTCAGAGCCTGAGAACAAACCTGGGAGGAGGGTGGGTTGGCTGTGATCAGCCTCCTCTAGAGAAAGAGGAAGCAGGTACACAAGGCAAAACAATTTGCTTCAAGCCACAGAGCCAGAAGAAACTTGCGTTGCTGCCTGCCATTCTGGGGTGTCCACCCCTTCAAAAGCAAAGAAACAAGACCCAAATTAATTCTCCCAAGAGTTTGGCTTTTGCTTAATAAAAGAAGGTGAACTTTGCACACGTTTTTTCTTTGCTTCCCTGTTAGCATTTTATTTGGAGATCTGACAGGGCAGAGAGTGCCTTCTTTCCTTTCCTGCCAAGGAATACAGCCCACATTTAGCATGTTAAAAAGGGTTCCGAAAATGAACATTGCCATGTTTTCATGCTATGTAAGTCACAGCAGAGCTGTGCCTGAATCAGGCTGTGGCACCACTCTGCTGGATGTTGTCCAGATAAAAATACTTGAAGCGAGAGTGCCGTGCTGTAGCTTGAGAAATTGTTCCAGTTCTTGAAATCAAATGAAACCATTTGCATTCTAACAGTCTTTGGCACTAGGGAAAACTGTCAACTCTGTCACGTGTAAATAGAAATCTGCTTCCCGTTTCTGGTGTTTTTTTCTTTTTAATCATTTCCCTTGCCACTCTAATTATCAAAGATATTTTTGTTTTTAAACAAAAATTCTCTCCCACGCAAGCCCCATCTCCTTTCTGCGGTGGAGTGGAAACGATGAATTAGAATATTCTAATCACTTCTCCAGCAACCACTGTACAGGTTATAAACACAAGATTATCTTAAGCAAAGGAAATTTAACGTTGTTTAGGCACAGAACAGGTCTGGAAATTTTCCAGCGTGCCCCCTCTCCCCCAGCTGCTACCTTTACCTCCTTAGGATATGTCTGTTAAATGCGAGAAAGAAAGAAAAACTGGTTTTACAGAGGTAAAACCTGAATCTCTTGAGGAGATTAATTTCAGATCAACAAAAGTAAAAAACAAATACTTAGCTTTCTTTAGCAAGCATTTAATTTCCAATTGGATGCCCAAAAGTATACAAGACAGTTCTAAGAATAATTGTCAAAAAAAAAAAAAATGTGTGAACCATCAAACAGATCCTATATATATAGCTGGCTGTCACTGTCTGGGGAGGGTTGATTCTGGGCCCCGTTGCAGATAACATACACCAAAATCTGAGAGTATTCAAGTCCTTTATATAAAGTAAGATAACATTTGCATAAAACTCTCCTGTGAACTTGGAATCATCCCTAGATTACTTATAATACCTGATGTAAATGCTGTATAAGTAGTTGTTAGGTTGTATTGTTTAACAGAGACAAGGAAAGGAGTCTGTACATGTTTAGTACAGACACATTTTTTTTTCTTCAAATATTATCAGTCTTGGTTTGTGGGCCAGTGAGATAGCCCAGCAGTTTAAAGTATCTGCTTAGGCAGCCGCAGGGGACCATGGTTCAATCCCCAACACCACATGCTTTGCCAGTCCCACCCTCAGGGAAGGCCAAACTGCCCCCCCCCCGAAAAAAATCATGGTTTATTACATCCACAGGCAGAACCTACAGGTATAGAGAACTGACTGTATTGGTTAACAGGGGTTTGAGGTATGTTTTAACCTTTTGTAAAACCCTGAGTGAGGTGTTGTGTTTTTTGTTTTTTGGTTTTTAGGTTTTTTTGGTGGAACTGGGGATTGAACTCAGGTCCTTGCGCTTGCCAGGGAAGCACTTATTCCACTGAGCCATCTCTCCAGCCCTTTCTATTTTGGCTTTTTGAGACAGAGTCTCACTATACAGTTCAGCTGGCTTTGAGCTTACTTTGTAGCCCAGGCTAGTCTTGAACACAAAATGATGCTCCTGCGTCAGCTTCCTGTGTACTGGGACTACAGGCATGCACTACCTCACTTGGGCCTACTCATCTGCCATACTTTAAAATGAGGAAACAGACTGAGACAAATTGAAAAATTCTTATATCTGCACAGCTGGTGATACCATGATAACGTGGGTCCTGGTAACATTCCTTCTTCCTTGATGATAAGCTGCTGACCTCTCCGCTAGATCCTTACACAGGTTGTAATACACCAGAAAGGCAGGTCATCTTCAGTCGTGTTAGTCACCTAATATAAGTCATGGAATCCTTTTGTCTCATTAGAGACAAGAAGCTGTCTCTACTCAAAAGGTAGTTATGGGGGGTTCCTGTGTACCATGCTGTACCCTCAGAGAGTTTATCTTGTGAGCCACGGAGATGGCCAGTGAGCATGCAGCCAGCTGGTTCGTGCAGGAAAGGTGTCCTGAACAGGAAGAAAGGCAGTACACCTGGCAAAGGGGAAAAGTAGCACCCTAGCAGGTGATGGCTGGGCTGAGGTGGCAGGCCTCATCCTTCCTGGGACTGGACAGCCAGGGCTGTGGGGTTTACAGTGGGACTGTCCATGACAGTGGCCCTCAGCATATGAGTGATGGTTCAAAAACAGGTGTTGAACTGATAAAAGGCAAGGGTTATGAAGATAGAGAACCTTCTCCTTACATGGAAGCCCTAGGCCCTTGAGCTCTGTCTGTGCTGTGTGTAGGACATAGGGCTGTGCCTCTGCGTGCAGTCATGGGCAGGGCTCATCTGCACTGGCCCCCTCCAAGAGTGTCCCGGTAGAGCCCATTCCTGTGAGTAAGAAGCTCCTCACAGGAGCCATGAGCATGTGTCCAGCCCACCAACCACCCATTGCTCCTGGTGCCAAGAAATAGTCCAGCTACAGAGATCAGCTGGGTGCCCCGGGAGACAAGTGGAGTGGCTCGCCATGTCCCCAAGCAGGGCAGAGAGCCCTGTTGGGGTTAGGCCGGTCCTGTGTGAATCCTTCTGTGCCCTCCCCCACCCCACACCACTTCCGGAGCCTTATGGAGTCAGTAATGAAGGGTGGACCTTGTCATTTTTCTTTTTTTCAGAAACTCCAGCTTTACACTCCGGAACTCAACCCGTGCCTTTGCCAAAAGCTTGTTTAATGTCAATATTGTTCTGCTGAGACTAATTACTATTTTACTCTATGTCAATGGATATGAAACTGTTTACCTCTATTGCCGTTAGGCTTTGGGACCTTCCTAATGGGCCTGTCTTAGCAGCTAAAGTAGGTTTCTTCTGGTGTTTCAAGTGACTTGATGTCATTATCAGTTTCTTCTCAGATGGCTCAGTTAACAGCCCCTGGGGGAGCACACCAACTACCCCATTTCTCCCTCTGTCCCTCTCCATGTTACCTGCTCACTGCCCACCTTTCTCCACAGTGTCTTCCAACATTTGATGAAGATCGATCCAGACTTCACCTGGTTCCTCCTGAACGAGCTGTACTGCCCCCTGCAGTTCACACCCCCTCACCCCAGCCTCCACCCGGTGCAGCTGCGGGGAGCCTTTGGGCAGCAGAACCCCTACACCACCAACGTGCTCTACCTGCTTCAAGAGCTGCGGTGCCCACCTGTGTGATGGACAGGCCCTGCCTCCTGGAAGGAGCACCCCCCACAGCCAGCCAAAAGTTGGACCAGCTGTACCCCAGCAGCAGAGACGCATATGAAGGTGGATTAGACAGCCAATCAATTGATCGATCACACAACTGCTTGGAAATTGGATTGAAGGAGAGTAGCTATTATTTATATTTCATTCCTCCAGTTTTCAAATGACATTGTCTCAGGGCTCTAAGGGCTTAACCCCTTAGCATGCCATCTCTACAGCCCTTCCTGCCTTACAGGTTACACACACACACACACACACACACACCCCTGATGATCAGGGCTGAATGGAGCCAGCCTGAGTGCTGGATGTGTCCCGGCCTTGTTTAAGTGTCACACATCCAAGAATTTTAAGAATATAACGCAGCCATCACAGATCCATAGGAGGGTCCCTCTCCATCCATGCATTGATCCCCTCCAATAATGAGGAGCTGATTTGTCGTACTTGACCTGTTCTTTGGAAAAATGAAGTAAAGACACTCCTTGGATGAAAGGTGTGATCAAGAGCTCACTTTGAAGTTTGTTATTTGAATGATATTTTTAAATTCATGGTTTTTTGTTTTGTTGGTACCAGGAATCAAACCCATGGCCTCACTCTTGCCAGGCAGGTGCTATACCACAGAGCTAATTCTCTGGCCCAATTATATATATTAGGGTTGTGTGTGTGTGTGTGTGTATGTGTGTGTTTGGTACAGGATCCCACTACACAGCTCAGACTTGTGGTGATCCTCCTGTTTTTAGCCTCCCCAGCGCTGGGATTACAGGCGTGCACCAGACTGCTGCTAGCTCAGCATGCAGGACCAGGAATTGAATCCTAGTTCCCTGAGCTTGCCAAAGCAAGCGCTTTATCTGCTGAGCTATCTCTCCAGCCCCCAATTTTATATTTTTGAATGGGTAACAAAGAATTAGGGTACAAAATTCAACAGTGCAAAAGAGAAAACAGTGAAAAATAAGTCTTCCCTCCCCATTTCCCAGCCATCTGGTTTCCCTCCTAAGACAACCACTCACAACAATTTTTCAGATACCTTTTAAGTAGATTAATTTCTTAATTGGTTACTATGGGTATATAAAGAATCCTATAGGGGCCAGGGAGATAGCTCAGTAGAATAAGTGCTTGCCTGGCAAGCACAAGGGCCTGAGTTCAATCCCCGGTTCTGCCAAAAAAAAAAAAAAATTGGGTGGCCAGGGAGATGGCTCAGTGGAATAAGCGCTTCCCTGGCAGACACAAGGGCCTGAGTTCATTCCCTGGTTCCACCAAAAAAAAAAAAAAAATTTAAAAAAATAAGTCTGTATACCCATATGCTGGCCTCACTGGCTATCAACATTTGGCCAGTCTTGCTCCATTTAGAACACTGCTCATTTACTTACCTCTCACCCTCCACCTTCCTGTCACCCCCCTCAATTATTGTCACGCAAATCCTAGATGTCTTATCCCAACATTTGGAAGTGGTTTTATTTGTAATTTACAGTACTAGGGGTAGAACCCAGGGCCTGACACACACTAGGCCAAGCACTCTACTGAGCTACATCCCTGGCCCTGGTTTTGAAATAGGCTCTTGTGGAGTTGCCCAGGCTACCCAAAGACTTATGATCCTCCTACCCCAGCTTTTCACGTAGCTGGGATTATTGGTGTGTGTGAACACACCTGGCTTCTAAACTCTTTAAGATGTATAACCACAACACCATTATACTTTTTAAAAATTAACAATGATCCTTTAGCATTGTCAGCTACTAAGTCAGTGCCTCAGTTTGCTCAGCATGTTTGAATCAGGATCAAAATTAAGTTATGTACATTGCTGGTATTGATGTGTCTCTTTTTAATTTATAGATGCTCTCCTCCACCTCACCTCCCTTTTCCTTATAAGTTTTTTGTTGAGGAAGCAAGGCCATTTATCCCATACCATCTCCCACTGCCTGGAGTTACTGACAGCATCCCACAAGGGTCATTTCATGGGTTTTCCTGTCACCTATATCTGCTGTAAATAGGGAAGCAGAACAAGAGTCTTGAGTCCAGTTTAATGGTCCTTCTTGTTCTGTGTTTCGGCCTAGTCCTCCCTCGGGTGTGTTACACCCATCAGGAGGCGTGCATGTCTGGTCTCGCGTGCTGCATTAGCAGCTGTTGGGAGTTCTGCTGTCTTCATCCATGCTTCTGGGATTGCTGGATATTGCTCTCCTAGTTCCACCGTGCGGGATTACGTTTAGCCCAGTGCTCATATAAAGGGCACACTGCCTTCCTCAGCCACGTCGGGTCCTATAACTACTGTTTATGCAGCAAAGACAGGATAAATACTTGACTTTTTTCTAACTGAGTTTAACATAGTGACTATGTAAATGTAGGCATATGGCGACACTGTGCCATACACACACACTGTAGGATCCCCAGAATGATGATGCTCCTTCACCAGATGCATAGGAGTAAGGCCTCGGCTAGACAAGTCTTGCAGAAGCATAGATAATCTCAAAGCTCTGAAAAAGCTAGAAGGCGCCCAGTGTGTGAGCACATTGGAGTAAGGGTCCCTAGCTAGCTCTGGAGAGGTTTGGTGATTTCCTATAAGCGTCTGTCTTGCCAGAATAGCGGGATGTCCAGCCTGGGTCTAGTAGGCAGCAGCCCAGCTCTGGCCCTGCCTCTGCTGGCAAGCTATTGGGGCCTCTTCTCTTTGGGCCTCTGTTCACCCGCTAGCAGAATAGAAAAATTAGACCGGAAGGAACGACTCTAATCTTTGAAGTTGTGGGTACCTCCAGGCATGTATTGAGATGAGAACCCATTCCTCAAAGCTCCAATCCTCCTGTCACACGGGAGGGCACTGCATCTGCCATACCTGACCTCACAACCCTAGGTGGCGCTCCAGAGACTGCCTGTGACCCCAGAGTATATACACACACACACACACACACACACACACACACACACACCCTAAGCATGTGCTATCATTTAGTTCTCCCAGCTTTGAAGTTCTAGGATGATCTCCTTTGGGAAAGGAAGAGAAGTGCCTCTAATTGAGAAAATGGTAAAAAGATTCACAACATTGTTCCTACCTCCTCTGGGGACACAAAGCGAAAGCCTAATTCAATCTCTCAGCCCTGACAAATGAGAAAACAGGTCAGAGAGGTGGCGTGACTTGTCAAGCGTTACATAGCTGCTTCCCAGAAGGTCAGCGCGAGCTGCCTGCTCTCAGTGGCTGGGTGTACCAGGCCACGGTGGTGTCCTGAGCCACAAGGGCAGATGCGCACGCACATCCTGATAAATAGGCTCCAGGAAGTACTGCAGGAGGTAGTGAGCACAGGAGGGCTTGCTGAGCTGTCCCACCTCTTCCTTAAAAGAGTTAAGACCTCCTGAGTTGCTTCCAATTCCTAAACGCAGACTTGCACTTGATTAAAAACAAAAAAAACTAATTAGAGCATCTCTCTGGTTATATTGAGACAAGTTTAATTGTGAGTCTGTCCAGCTGACTCAGTCTGCTAAGAGAGGTGCCTCCTTCCCCTCTATTCCAATTTGCTGGGACAGGAAGGATTTTCCTCCCCCTACCCCCGGGGAGCGGCACAAGTATGGCTGTGCCTGGACTTCAGGGTGGGTAGAGGAGAAATGCACAGGAGCCAAATGGCCCTGAATTTCAGGTGGGGATATCTGATCTGTACTCTGCAGGCAGCAGAAGGTTCCCGGAGGATTCAGAGAGGTTGGATCTGGATCCAGGGCATCTTGGCCTGGAAAGGTCCGCTGTGATCATCAGGAGACCCGTTCTGTAGAAAGCGTGGATGATTTGGAGACTGCTGGAGTGGGACCTGATTTCTGACACCACCTCTGACTACTGTGTATCCTTGGGCAAGTCACTTTACTTTTGAGATTGATTTTCCCATCCATGAGATAGAATTTCTGCCTTTGCCTCTTCCAGCAGCTGCATCAGGAAGAATAAATGCTATAATGTCTCTAAAGCAACTATCACGGTGCCTGGGGCGCTACCTGCTTCCCAGCTCATTGCCTATGGCTTTATCGGATGCACCACACATTCCTCCAGTTTAACTGAGGAAGTTTGTAGTTAACCCTCAGCATGAACACTCAGGAGCTAAAGGGATGCACAATAATGAGAGAATCAAAGAAGGCTTCTAGGAGGAGGTGAAATCCTGTAGGATGGTTCATCTTGGCAGGCAGCCCCCGATGCGGTCCAGACAGGGAAAACAAGCCTAAGGCATGCAGGCCTGTCTGATGTCTCCTCAGACTAGCTCCTTCCTCTCTCTTTTTTTTTTTTTTTTTTTTTTTTTTTTGCAGAACGGGAGATTGAACTCAGGCTCTTGTGCTTGCCAGAGAAGCAAGCACATCCACTGAGCCATCTCCCCAGCCCCTCTCTGTCTTTTGATCTCACTTTCCCTGATTGCTTTCATTCTCTAGAAACTTCTCTTAATAAGGTCTCAATGACAACAAAGCAGTGGTAGCTCCAGGCTTATATTCTTTCAGTTCAACATACATAAGAGAGAGTCCAGCAGTTCTAAACCAGGCTGAACAACATAGTAAGATCTTGTCTCAGAAAACAATCACCTAGGAGAACGTGTGCCTCCTGGCAGCTCCAGCCAAAGTCCCCGGATCTGCTCCATCAGCTCAGCCTGCTCTTTGTCCAGCCTCACACCAAGCATTGTCTGCCTACAACAGATACCAGCAAACATGCCCTGGAAAGCAGCAGACGGGGGATCTATTCAGCTTTGCAGGCTGTAGGTCTCTGTCAGGTCTGATTTTTCTTTTTTTATAACAATCTTTCAAAATGATTTTTAGCTTAAAGGCCTGACAAAAATAGGCCAGGGTTTTGCTTGTCACCCCCTGCCCCCAAGACAAACTCTGAGTATAGTGTTCCACGGGCAAGCCTGGGGGCGAGAATCAGGGCAGTCTAGCCTAACCATTTGGAGAAAGAGTTGTGGTGGTGTGGTTTCCCAGAAGGAAGAAGGTGCCAGGGTGGGGAGGAATGGCAGGCAGGCAGCACCCCACGTTCATGGCCTGGCAGTCAAGGAGGGAGCGTTCAGGTGCTGAAACCACATTTATGGAGGGTTCCCACCTTAATGGATCAAGAAGTTGGTCTTGGAACGTTCTTGAACAGGTGAGTAATGTATGACAGCATTTTAGGAATATTCATCTCGTGGCAGCATACGGGAGAAATCAAAAGGGAGAGAGACTGGCAGTGAAATTGTGTTTCTGAAAGTCCCAGGACGAGAAAATGTACCTCTTCCATCAACCCCAAACTGTTTGACATGCCGTGGTTCATGAGCAACTTGAGGCACATAAATATATGCTTTAAAGTTTAAAAGTAGGAAGTGAGATGAATGGAACGTCTGATGAGGCTTCCTCCGGCTCCATCCAGCGAGTGCGGGAGCCCTGGAAATGATTTTCTGCAGCTCCAACTGTGCTGAACAATGCAGGGTCCCCTCTCCCTTTGTGTGGCTCGCCCCAGTCCTCTGCGTCGCGCTTGATTAGAAGCCAAGTGCCCGCATTGCCTTTCCTCCAGAGCAAGGAATAG